TTCTTAGACGCTACCATGCGCATTACGCATGGACGACCTAATCCAAGAAATCCAAGAGTTCAAACTGGGGCAGTGGGGCCAGGAAGGATGAACCTTCACAGGTTTCAAGCGACTGGACCCGCAACTGATTCGCCATTGCATTTGCATGAAAACAAGCTGAGTGTAATTATGCGATTGATATGCGTAGGCAATATAGATGCCTGGAGCCCAAATGCATCTAGATCGTCTAATGTAGACCCATGATTCATAAACCCCCTCCTTTTAAGGGCCTTAATATTAGGATCCCTATTATGATTCCTATTAAGGGGAGGAGGTTTATTAATCATGGGTCTACATTAGGGTGTTGATTTGTTTGTTTGGCCTGCCTGCTCCCTGGCTTCAGATGAGTCCTGCGACGTTCGGGCCAGGGAGACCGCCCGCATATTGTGCAGTAACCTTCACCTCATGTTGGAGTCTCAATCCTGCTCCAGCCTACTTCGGTGGACTGGAGATTCTGGTCCCTTCCGCAGAGTCCTTCTACTCAGGAATGAAACAGACACGAGACACACCCAAAAACCTCACCTTCAGCTAGAAAGCATAGCAATCACCCAAGGAGACAGAATCTAGCAGAAGATGTGAAGTTGAATGCTAGTGCTACGATACTATCGCGGCAAAGCGCTACGCCTCATTTCTTCGCAGTTGTTGTATAAGTACAGTACCATATACCCCGAAACTCCGTTCTAATCAAACAGGCCCATGACCCGAAATGGGAACTGGGGAGGGTTAGGAGCATCCATGCTACACCTCCCCAAGTTCCCCCTTAACCAGACTTAATCCGGAATACCTAGGGCCACTTAAACAAAATCAAGGGCTCATCCTGTTAGGCTGGTTGACAACGGCTTTTAGGGTTCCAGGGTTTAGGGTTTAGGGTTTATAGTTAACAACGGGATTCCCAATCTGTACATGAGTATAGTAGAAGCGCAAGGTTTATACTGGCATTCTGCATGGTAGTCGGGCTTGATGCGCTCAAAATGCACTAAAATCCTAAGCCCTAGCGCCCCTAGTCCTGAAAACCCTTTCCCCCTGAACCCTATACCCCTACACCTTCCTAAGCCCTTGTCAAGGTCCCCGATGGGGCCTTGCTTCACACATGGTTCAGGGTCGGCTTCAGGCATTGGTGTGTTTTTTCCACAGCGCCAGGTCCGCCTTGTATATCTTGACAACTTAGCGTTCTCGTTATGTGCTGGGATTTCCAAAAGGGTAATGTAAAAGCCTGAGCATTTGATTCATTGCCAATATTGCTCACCGACAACCCGAAATTATGACTACAGTATACTGCACCCAAGCCCTGTTCTTACTTTGGCCCCGACCCAAAATGCTATGGCCTGGTCCACCCTAAACTCTAAATAGTAGCTTCCACTTTCTTTTCCATTATCGCAATATAACCCCTATAAAACCCAATACCCTAAACCCTAAACCCACCCCCCACCCTACCTTTCGGCAGGGCAAGGTGCTCAAAGCTCGCACATCTTGTTTTCAAACAAGTTGGAAACACCAGTCCCGCTAAAGTAGATTTAGGGTTATTTAGGGTTTAGGGCTTAGGCGTTTAGGGCTTAAAGCGTCTAGGGTCGTTTCGGGTTTATGGTTCAGTCTATCTCATGGATCCTAAAACTACACACTTCCACAAACTCGAGGACACGAAGTCGGTTGGGACTCCTTTGCTAATCCAGTGTCAAAGCTGTTGGTGCTGTTTGCGCCTGCCACAACGTTCCACTTGGGAACGGTATGGCAGCTTGCATTCCCTTTGCCGCAGCTTTCAGCTTGGTAGGAATATGCCTCGTGAGATCCTATGATGTAAAGGCCTAAATGCCTAACTGCGTAGAAGAGGGATTCGGGTTACTTCGTTAAAGAAGTTTGTCGGCAGTACAGTACACAGGATTGTAGGAGAAAATGTTCCCAAACCTTCATGAGTAATATGAGCCTTTTCCGGGCCACAACGCGCGAGGAGCATTTAGGGTTCCAGGTTTGGGGTTTTGGGTGTAGGGTTCTAGTCCCAATGGCCGGAATGCGCATAGCGTACTCAGAGCGGTAGCATATACCACTGCAGTCCCCACTACACTTTCAATGGCAGTGATGGCAAATAGCCCCAAACCTCAACCCTAAAACCCTGAAACCCTAAACCTTAAAACCCTAAACCCTAAACCCTAAAACCCTAAACCCTAAACCCTCCTAGGAACCTAAGGGTTCTGTTGGGGATCCCCCGCCTTGCTATTTAGGGTTCAACATAAGCCATAAGTGAGCCAGAAACGCTACTCCTGGCAAGAACGCGAAAGCCCAAATTGACATAAATCCTACCCCTCCAACTTTTTGGGGGCTAGGGTTGTTCTGGAGCAACCTTGGACGATTTCGATGCATACCTGGACCCAAGACATGAAGATTAATATAGTAGCTGGACAATAGCCACATCAAGTAAACCCTTGACTCTCGCCCCTCAAAGCTAGCCCCCCTAAACCCTAAACCCGAAACCCTAAACCCTAACCTTTGAAGGGTCGAATAATTCCTACCCTCGGTTTCAAAGCCTCCGCAAAGCTCGCGGTTAATGTCATCGGCCGCCTGGGCGACGGAAAAGAAGGAAAGCTGGCTACTTGGAGGGTCAGGGGGACTAGGTAAATGAGTTACGAAAAGGCATAGCTAGGGTTACTATATGGGTTATAGGGGTTATTAGCCTACTTACTAAGCTCCTTGACCCTCCAAGTAGGGTTTAGGCCCAAGGTTTAGATTGATGTGACCCATAATCTAAAGTCCTTAGAGGAGGTCATATAGGGGATTACTATAGGGAATTACTATAGGGGTTAATAAGGGGATACTTTGGCCTGGAGTAGATCCAATACTAAACCCTAAACAACCCCTAAACCCTAAACCCTATAGAGTGGGGGTAGTAGGGGAACCCATGACAGACCAGGCCCGGCACTTGTGGGCTTAGGCTGGTTCAGCAGGATTATGAGGTGTGCCGGGGTATTTGGGGGGGTTGCCATACATTATAAGAATGCTTTCTTGGGGATGCCTACATAGTATTCTGAGGTCACAAACAGATGATAAATAGCCAGGTTCCTCCCAGTATGGGGCAACGTTATTTTCTTGAAGATTCTTCTATTCGTGAACGGCACAAAATGCGGCTGACTTGGTTGTTCGATCGTATCGCTGGGAAGGTGACGAATTAGGGCTTAGGGTTACCTGTAAACCCTGCAACGCCAGTCTTTAGGCACTGGCTGCTCCTCCAGAGACCTTTCTCAAACTTGGGAGCCTGTAAATTCAACACAACCAGAAGCTGGTGTCGAGGGATGCCCAGCAAGGGGCTCTAAACCCTAAACGGATTGGAGACTCCAGCGATGTAAGTTGTCCACAACCGCGTCCATGCAGCCGCTGCAAGAGCATGCTGAGGTAGTAGAACCCCGGGTGCTGAAAGCCAATGCAAAGGCTGACAGAGAGCTAATCATCATCTGTAAGTTCTGTGTATGTTGCTCTCTGGGACTAGGGAACCAGAAGAGCATGTTGACAAAGTTTTTACAGTGCGCGTATGTTTTCTGTTTGGGCTCTTAAGCTTCTTCTACTTCCCATTTCTACATGCAATTTTGTGAACGCTTCTTGTCTCGGTTGCCGGAAATCTGCCCTAAGTCTCCAAACCAGCATCCTATTCATACACCCGAGAGCGAGCCGGCCGGGAAGAGCCCTATGGCAATGGCTCTGCTGCTCCTTGTGCTGGCGCAGGCAGCTGTGCTGGCAGCTTCTGCCTCTTGCGATGCAGGTGACGAATCCTGCGCCGCACCAGGAACAAGTTGTCTGAATTGGTTCAGAAGATATGTCTGAGTTAGGAGGACCCCCGGACCCCCCACGCTATAGTATCGGTAGGAATATAAGAGGACGCGAATATAATCCCTATTCCATTACAGGGGTGGGGGGGTCCACGTCATGTCTGAGCATACTTAACATCCTATGTCAACGTTCCCTTTGCTCTTATGAAATTGCAGGTATGACGCCTCTCCGGGCCGTATCACCTATTTCTCACAGGCTCCCAAATCCTTGACCCTACAATGCAAGACCTGGCTTGGTCTGGATTTAGGGTAGGAACCGTATGGGGTTTCAACTCGTCCCAAGTGATGGAGCCGCAGAAACCAGATTGGGTGCCATGTAGCACGTGTCATGTAGCACATCTACAAGGTCATTCCAGAGTTCTGCGGAATTTGGCTCAGGTATGCCAAGTTACTTTTCGGTGCTTAAGGGAGCACGGAGGAAGGCCTTAACCCTAGACTCTTAGGGTTTAGGGTTCTCGGGTACCCCCTAACAGCCCTTACATTCACTCCCCCACTCCGCCTTTCAGCACCAGTCAGATTAGAGAAAAGTAGGTTTGGGAGCCCTAGTGAGGCGCGGGTAGTTTGCCCTGATCCCAAGTCCCATCCCAGGCTGAAAAGTATCATTGTCCTACAGGGGCCAAATTCTTGTAGGGTTTAGAGTTTAGGGTTCAGGATTTAGGTTTAGGGTTCAGGGCGCTAAAAATGTTATAGCTCTAGATTCTTTGTAGAATTATGGTGTAGGATGCCTCACATGGACCTCAAAACTGCCATTGGTGATTATGCAGGCTCCTGTATAAATCAAACCCTCCATCCTAAACCAGTATGATCTAATATATGTGTACCATCGGATAAGTCGAGAGTACACTGGGTAATACCAGATGTTGTCCGTCACGAGTACTCTGAACAATACACCAGCGGAGCCCATCATCACCCGAGATCCCTAAACCCAAAACCCAACACCGCGTATGGACCAAGCTTCAGCAATGACCGCATGTCAGGTGTTGGAACTCATCAAAAAAATGCCACACCCAATCCCAAACCCAGAACCTCAAAACCCGGAACCCTTCTAAAAAGTAAACCAGACATGGCTTTTCAAGAGTCTAAACCCTAAACCCTTTAAACCCTAAACTCTAAAACCCTAAGCCCTAAACCCCTTAAACCCTAGCCCAGGAGTCTTCTTTACTGACACATAGTCTCAGAGACCAACGTCCGCAAAGTCGGAGGCCAAGGACGCGGCAGGTTTACCTTCCTCAAAGCTAAAGTATGTTATAGCCTAAACTCCTGAAAGGGGCTATATAGGGTGATAGGGTTTAGGGGTTGGGGTTATATTGGGTTTAGGGTTCAGGGTTTAGAGCCTAAACTCTTCAAAGGGTGTTATATTATAAGTTGTAGTCTAAACTCCTTCTAGGCGGTTCTAGAGGGGATGATATAGGGGACTACTACAGGGGTTATATATTAAGGGGGATACTAGGAGCTTAGACTAGGGCTCATTAAGGGGTTCAGGGTTTAGGGCCTAAACTCCTCAAAGGGTGTTATAAAGGGGATTGTATAGGGAGTTATGTTGGGGGTTATGAAGGGGGATTCCTTCCTAGAACTTAGCTCAAGTGGCAACCCGGTAGTTTGGTAGGTCCTTCTTTTAATTTCAAGTGTGTTGGCGCCCATATTGGACCCCGCCTCGTTTCTGCAAACCACCGTGTTGCTCAAGATAATCCTGAGTGTCCATGCCCCCACCCCCAATTGAGAAATCCCCAGTTCAGTTTGAGCGGGGTGGTGATGGGGAGGTTGTTCATAAAGCAAGAGTTAGGAGGATTGAGAGGACGAGTGTTTGGCACGTTTCTGCGAGGCTGCAACTTGCAAATTGTAGGAAGCCGGCCAGGGTGTTTTCAGGCCCTGTATTGGTCAGAGACGGAGACAAGAAACACACATTGTCATCGCAAAGCATCATGCATCCGTTTCCATGCCTCAACTAGCGGCGTTTTACATTGCCTTCTCTGCGTCACTTAAAGTTCTACTGCGACCGCAAGATCAACTCTCCGAACACAAGCAAGGCCAGAAACCCCAAACCCCAACTCTCCCAAACTGCAACATCCTTTTCGAACCCTAAACGCCAAACCACCCCAGCCACAGGAGCCAGGTTTCGGATGCGTCAGAAGACGAGTCCCCAGACCCTGCATACGGGCAGGCACGCTCATGAGATGGTGGGTTTAGGGTTTAGGGTTGAGGGGAAGCCTGCATGCCAGGGGGCCCAAATTATTCGCCAATAATGGAGAACCAAATGCACAATAGCATGCAAATTAAATGGAAACTGGGGTTCTGTCGGGCCACTGTAAGGGCTTCACTGGGATAACTATGAACCTAAACGCTAAGCCCTAAGTGGGATAATTACGAACCTAAACCCTAAGCCCTAAGAGGGCCGTTACAGTATGCTTTAGTCCACGGTTTGGTTTTTAGTCAAGGTCTGGGGTTTTGTGTTTGGAGGTTTCGGGTATGGGATTTAGGGTTTGGGGCTTACTAAAGTTTAGGGTTTAGGGGTAGGGTTGGGGATGCACCGTTCGGGGTCTAGAGTTGGGGGGTTAGGGGTTTAGGGTTTATGGGCCTTAGGATGTGAGATCGTAAGTCGTGCCTGATGTTTTGTTGACCCTAACCCTTACAACAAGGCAGCTGCCCGGGGCGGCTGCTTCTGAGAATATTAGGCGTTGGGGATCATGGCTGTCCCATTTTTGGAGTGTCAGGGCTTCATGTTACCCAAGGAGCCCGATGCCACTTAGTCCAGGAATAGGTTCTTGTCTGGATTACCCTAGGGCGCTGATGCTGATTCGAAGGCATGCTGGCAGATCAAGAAGTCTTTGATTTCTAAGTTCCAAACCGTAAATTCTGTTTAGGGTTTACTATAACGGCTCATATAGAGTATATACTGGGGTTGTATTGGGATGATGGAAACGTAAATGGAAAGCATAGGAATGATAGGGTTTAGAGCTTCTCCTGCTCAGGATACTTCTGGCTGCCTTAAACCCTTATCTACCAAGAATTTCAGGCGGGTGAGGGCTTCATCCAAGGAATGCTCTGGCGGAAATTTAAGCCCTACCATAGCCCTCATATGCTCCAAATCCCTACACCGAAGGCTTGTGTAAGTCAGCTTTTGTCTCGGTACCCACAAGGTAACTCCCTACCTCAACACTCTCTACACCCTAAGCCCTAAAACCTGAACCCTGCTTATGGCTTTAGCTCTGCCACCTGAACCATGATGCGCACTAATGGTTTTCATTCCGGGGGGCACGGATCTACCATCCCAAAAGAAAATCCTAAACTGCTTAGAGTGCTCAACGTCCCAAGCAGTGCACCCAAAACATCATCATGAGCCCCAAGCCCTTGTCAGGGTTTAGGGTTTGGGGTTTAGGGTCTCCAAAAGGCCTAAGCCTGAACCCATCAACCGTCAAGCGCCTTCAGGCCGCAAGAGGCGACACAAGACTTCGGCAAGCGCCGGCGGGGGTTATACAGGAGATTTTTAGGGGACTGCTATAGGGGTTATATAGGGGCTTATACTTCATTGTTCAGCCATATTTGGTAGGGTTTGGGCCTTTGATGTAGGACTGTCGAAGCAACTATCTGGTTGGTAGCAATCCGGTGTTCCATTTAAAGGAGACTTGGCTTTTCCTATGATAGGGGGAGGAGGCGGCTTTTTTGTCAGGTTCCGGAATCATTATGAGGAGTTGGGGCTACCTGCTCGTTTGGTAGTTTCCCCAAATAGCGAGACACCCATGTAGACCCCAGTATACTATAGCCCACATTCTTAGGACCCTCAAAATGGTACCCCTAATTTTAGGAAATCCCTTTTATGGGGAGGGCTTACTACAGGAGATTTTTTAACCCTAAACCCTAAACCCTGTTGAGGGATGGGGCCAGGCCTCTCGCAGGCCTTTTCCGGCTTCACTCCCATGCCACTCCCCCGCCGCTCCCATACCACCAGACTTACTGGTTCTCAGTAGAGAATAGGGAAAATACCCCCTACATAATCTCTGTATAATAGCTTCGCTTATTTTGCGCTGACCCCTAGTCCCTAGTCAGCAAGAAGCGACCTGTGAAGCGCGGAGCGGATTCACTGTCCAGCTCGGACTTTTCGAGGGGTTTAGAATGTAGGGTCATAGACATGGATTTGTTCTTGGAGTTAGACCTGCGCTCAGTCATTCAGTGAAACCCCTAATTCAACAACCAGAGGTGCCTGAAACTTACATAGCTTCCCCTAATTTAAAGACCAGAAGCGCCTGCTACTTGCCAAATCTCACTCCAACAATAGTTTCCCATAGCTTTCCCAGAGCTTTCCCAGACCTCACACCAGGTATGGAAAAGGTATAGAAGATACAGACGTTCTCTCCTAGAAGCTATACACACCTATAAACGCTAAACCTTAAACCCAAAATCCCAAACCAGGGGTTGTTGACGGCCGCCACCACGAAGCCCTGGGGGCCCTGGACACACGGATCCAGGATTCGGGCTGCGAGCTTAGGGTGTAATCAGTGGTTCTCGGGGTTCGAGCATTTAGTGTGAGAGAGTTTAGGGGTAATGGAAAATGAAATGGAAGC